CATTAAGGATTTAAAGGCCTGTGGCATCAAATTTTTGTAATAAATGTGAATGTGTTTTTGGAAAGAGAACATTGGTTACATATTCCAAAACAAATTTCATGCTGTTGAGATGAACAGTTGTTGAGATATTTGCATGTGAAGAAACAGGAAGTGATGTCAAATGGGAAAGTCTGCAGGTAAACAGAGTGATGTTACAATAATTAAAGAAGAATCTGATGTTTCTTTAGATTATTCTGAGTCACTATCAGAGAGATGAAGAGTTTAAATAACATTGTTTCAATAAACGAAGACTGGAGTTTTTTTTCTTTAATGTCACTTCCTGTTTCATTTAGCTGAGCCAAATTCAAGAGAAAATAGGCCAGTTATGAGACAAATGGGTAAAATCATGTGTACTATGCAAATTTTCTTAAATATAAAAAAGTTTTCTTTGACTTTTTGTATTTGCAGGATAAGCATGTCACAGGCACTTTAAAGGTCTTTTAAAGGCTGAAAATTAGGAAGCAAGTGCTCCATTGACTTCCATTATACTGTAAAAAAAAAAGTGCGGAGCTCCGTAAACACACTGTGCGTCACAGTTACGCAACAATTTTTCAAACCAGAGCAGAAAACAAACTAGAAAACTTTAAGATAGATTTGGAGATGCTAAGCATGAAAACGAGCGGGAAAAAAATCACAAAAACCTGACCCACACACCGCCGGGATCGGGCAGAGTATTTTTCAAAGTGTCTAAACTTTACTTTTAAGAAAAAGTAAGGAAATTTGTGTTTGGTGGATTATTTCTTTGTTTGAACAATGCTTCATGCCACATGCTCAGAACAAGTGTTATTAACAGCCAAATAAGCTGAAGATTTGACATTTTTCACGTGATCAACCCACGCACTCAGCTCTGCTGCTCATCCCACAAATGCATGTTCCTTACAAATGTGGCACCGTTTAAAACATTGCCAAGAAGCCTTGTTACGACAAGGAAACAATCTACCAAACACTAATTTCCTCAYGTTTTGTGCTCAGTTTATACTTTAGATTTAAGCTATTTTCACGTTCGTTGCAGCCCCCCACCAGAGGTCCGACGTTGGGGTAACCTGAAGGAGACCCTGCTGCGGTTTCAGCGCACGCACGACTTCGACGCCACGTTCGAGGCGCTGACGGTCGGCGAGCTGGCCGGCGACTACTTCAACGCTCTGGGGGACCACCGACAGGAGCTGCTGAGGCAACACGTAGGCACAAAACTAGATTTTTTTTAAAACCCTTCGGGAGCTCGTAGCGCCTGTAATCTAATCTGCGGTGCGTGTGCAGGTGTACCGTTACCTCGGTGCCTTCCTGCTGGACAGCGGCATCAAGATCGAGTCCTGTGACAGGTACTCCTCGGAGACGAACGGAGCGAAGATAACCTCCACGAGGCACTGGTAATCCCTCTCTCACGCTCCTCTGTTTCCCGTTGCTGTTGCAGCTCTGACGCCGGCGTTGTGTKTTTTTGTTTTCAGGTTTGTCGGGGAGCGAGTGGAGGTCCTGCTGGGCTGCATAGCGGAGCTGAGCCCCGCTGACAGCGCCGTGCTGAGAGCCGGGGTCAACGACTTCAGCGTGATGTACTCCACGCGTAAACGCTGCGCTCAGCTCTGGCTCGGGCCCGCGGCTTTCATCAACCACGGTGAGTTCCTTCACCTTTTAATAATTAACCTCCTGCAGGTCCTTAAAATGTCTTAAACGTCATTGAACTCATCGATCCAAAAATAAGGCCTTAATTAGCCTTAAAAGTTCTTAAATCAGTCTTTCAGAAGTCTTGATGTTGTAAGTAGGATGACTTTAATTCAGCTCAAATATTAAAATAATTGGTAACGTTTATTTTTTTGAATATTCACATGCTGACATTCCCCTTTGACWTCACTTYCTGTTATTTCACATGCAAATATCTCAACTGTCCATCTGAGCAACGTGAAATTAGTTTTTTAATATGTTAATAATGTTGTCTTTCCAAACATGCATTCATTATTTTTTTTAGAAAAGCTTGACTTTAAGGTTTCATATACAGCAAATGTGGGTTAAGAACCCCAGTGGGTCCTAAAACTCCAGATTTTAGGTTGTTAGAGGATTTCCAGAAATTAATTTAAGTTTAAAACTGACTGCTAAGAATGTTTCTACTATCGTTTGATCTGGATAAAAACTGGTCTATTATCATTATTTGAATACTTCAACCAAAAATACTTTGATTCATGAGCTTCTGCCAGTTTTTATTATTTTGTCATTTGTGTTTATTATGAAATTGGTCTTAAAGGGCCTGTGACACGCATATCCATTAAATACAAAAAGTCAAAGAAAATTTATTTATTTTTAAAAATCTTGGCATAATACATACGATTTTACCTGTTATGTCTCATAATTGGTGTATTTTCTTTTGAATTTGTCTCAGCTGAAGTGAAACAGGAAGTGACATCAAAGGGGAACTCATTGAGAAAGAAAACTCCACGTTTTTAGTTTAAACAATGTTATTTGAACTCTGACTCTCTCAACTGTGATAGTGATTAAAATAATCTAAAGAAACAGATTCCTCTCTCCAGTCTGTGTCGTTAGCCATTTTAGCATCGCTCTGTTCACATGCAGACACTCCMCTTTGACATCACTTCCTGTTTCTTCACATGCAAATATCTCAACAACTGTTCATCTCAGTGGCACAAAATCTTTTTTTTGCAATATGTTATCAGTGTTATCCTTCCAAAAATACATTCATTTTTATTACAAAAAATTGATGTCACAGGCACTTTAAATTTAATTTCACTTGGCATTAAAGAGTCTTAAATTTAACTTTCCTTAAACTGTAGGAACCTGTCACTGTTTCTGTACGTCTTCAGGTTAGGATTATAATCCTGCTCTCTTCACGCCTGATGTGATGGAGCAGGAAAAAAGGTTCAGACAGAGCTGAGCATCTCTTATTGACTTTAACTCTTTGTGTAAATAAGGTGCTTTTTAAAGCAGTATTTAAAGGAAATCATTTCTCTGACCTTTTTAAAGGTACACAACGTGACGCCGCTTCATTACTGCACCGTAATTAACTCCCGAGTCAATCAGTTCTTCTCACCTGAGCGCTTCAGRGCACACATGGATTACAAATATTTGTTTTTTTTTCCATTACAATAAACGGTTCATTCAGACCCAGCTGTTGTAAATAAACTGATAGAAAAAGGTTATTTTTTTCCACTCTGGAAGGAGCRGGATTTATTATTAATCTGTACCAGACCTGTTTTGTTTTTTTCATTTTAAGTGTTTTAAAAATAACAATTGTAAAACCACATCTAAAAAATAAAACTCATATATCTTCTGATTTAATCAAGTTAAATCTGTTTTCTTTTGTCTTTGTGTGCCGGCTGAAGACTGCAAACCGAACTGYAAGGTAAGCAGTTTGACAGCTTTAATATAAATATATTTACTGTTAAAATGCAGCGTTTTATACGTTGTTTTTTAAGTCCAGGTTTGCACCTTTCTTCTGTTTTTTTTTTTTTAAATTCATAAAACCTCACGGGGGTTTTCTCTAATGTTGTTGTTTTGGTTTTTTTGTTGTTTTTTTTTTTGCACCTGCCCAGTTCGTCCCCGGTGAGAAGAACGTCGCCTGCGTRGAGGTGATTCGACCCATCTCACCTGGGGAGGAGATCACCTGTTACTATGGTGCCAGTTTTTTTGGCGAAGGCAACGAAATGTGTGAATGCTGCACCTGCGAGAGGTGTGGCTTTATTTATTTATTTATTTTTTACATTTTTGCTTCAAAAATAACCTTTTTTTATTTTCGGTGTGAGAAAAGGGCGTCGTGTACATTTTTAACAGACGTTTAATTTGATTTCCTCGTTTTATTTCTTTGAAGAAAAGGGGAGGGTCACTTCAAACACAGAGGGAAGCAGCCTGAATGTGAGGAAACAAAGGACGCCGTGGGCCAAAAGTACCGCCTGAGGGAGCGATATCTTCGTCACCACAGAGAGAAAGGTCWTTTTACCGCGAGACCACCAGGAATACACGCCGGGATTTTTAAAGGTAATCGGTTAAAAACCACCCTCGGACATTTAGGAGCTTTAAATTTTAACACCTTGTTAGAATAAAAACAGAACAAGTCAACATTTTAAAAAGAAACAGTTTATTAATTATTTGTCATCGGCAGATCTGTTTTATCATTTGTAGAAATAAAAAAAAAGTAGCTGAGAGACATCCTCTACACGCATGCTTTTACTTAATTTTWTTTTCAAAACTATATATACATTCCTTCAAGGTTTTTATATATTTTTTATTTTACTACTACAGCAGTTCAAGTTTCAAGTTTATTTATTTAGGGCCAAGTCACAACATACGTTGTCTCAGGGCACTGTACATGAAAAGAACAATGTAAAGAAGAAACCAGCAGATTGTGTTGAATCATTTCATCACAGTCTCCCATCCTGARCAAACGGTGGAGAGGAAAAACTCCCTGCTAATCAGGAAGAAACCTCCAGCAGAACCAGGCTCAGGACAGGAGACCATCTGCCTCGACCGGCTGGTTGAGGGACAGGAAAGAGACACAGAGAAACACAGGAGAACTGGTCCGGGACTGGTCCAGGTGCACCTTCTTCTGGAAGAGACAAAGAAAAAACATGATAGAATTAATTACAATAAACATGTAGAGAAGAGAGACCAAAGACAACAGCAGAGTGAGGAAATGTKCTCAGTTTGTGCTCCAGCAGTCTAAGTCTATAGCAGCAGAAATGAAGAATAATTCAGGAAACCTGAGTCTAACTATATGATTTATCAAAAAGGAAAGTCTTCAGTCTAATCTAAAAAGCAGACAGTGTGTCAGCCTCACGGACAGAARCTGGAAGTTGATTCCAGTTAAAATAAATGTTTATTAAATAAAGTCTAATGTCGCAGCTAATCATGGATCCCTTTAACTTTCATTTTAAGTTGCATTAAAGAGTTATTTAAAACCCTGTATTAAATATGTTCACTTATCAGCAGGACGTTTTGATCCATTTGTTTTTGTTTTTTTTATTCGCAGCCATCCCCTCCAGGAACTCCTTCACTCAGCAGATGAGGAGGAACGCCTTGAAGAACCGAAAACTGAACGAAACCAAGAAGTGGAGGCGAGAGAAGCAGAGGCGTTCGGGGAAGCTCCCGCTGAAGTCCTCCTCTGTGAAATGTTACAAGACGCTTCCCCTCCTGTCCCAGGTCACCCTGAGGGAGGTCCGGGTCAGGGTCCGGCGCCACAGCGTGGACTTCCTCCTCAGCTGTAAGAACCCGGGCAGCGAACAGAGAGCCTTGCTGCAGCAGCTGGAGGAGGCGAGGCCGAACTGTGTGAAGCAGGCGAAATCAGCCGAAGAGGAAGACGACAGCAGCAGCGCCGTCGCTTCGAAGCCTTCCGCTCCGAACTCCTCCTCCATGCCTGTGAACCAGGAGCACAGAGCCGTCAAAACGGCGGACAGGCCCGCTCGCATCAGGACCGCCTCCAGAAGAAAAGGAGCGGCTCGAACGGCGCAGCAGGTGAAGACGGAGCCTGTTCAGGACGACACGACCTGCGACGCATCGACACAAGTGGAGGCGGTGAAAACAATCACAGAAAGTCGAAACAACAACAACAACGGTGCTGAACCTGCCGTCAGCACCAAGACTGAGGGTCCAGGGGCGGAGCAAAACCACGAGACTCTCAGGGAAACCCCTCCAAACGTCGCAGCTGCACCAGAGAAGGCTGCGGACAATCCAGTGAAATGCCTGAAGCAATACATCACCGTCAGCCTCACGCGGCTCCCAGCGCCGCCGACTTCAGAGGCGGAGAGGCTCGGCGGAGCGGGAGGCGGCGCCGCCGCCGCCAAACGACGGAGCAAACCCAAACCAGCAGGAAAACAGGTGTCCCAGCTGGACGCCCGCCCGGCTGAAGCTGCAGAGAAGGAAACGCTCGTCAAGGCCAAAGGTAAAGGAAGGAGGCGGCAGAGAGCCGGAGAGGCGCAGGATTCGTCCGGAGGTGGGGAGCAGAAGGCCGATGAGGTCGTGGAAGTGCAGGAAGACGASAAAGAAAAGGAGCGGCGGGATGTGTTGGAAGACAAAAAAGAAGGGAGGGAAGAAATCTCTGCATCAAACACTCAAAACGCTGAGAAAGAACCGAAAGTGTCGGATGAAGTAAACGAAGGACAAAACAACGTCCAGCATGAAAAACACCTGAACGTGTGCAAGAGAAGAGCGCCTAAAGGGTCGGCACAAACCAAACGGGCTTTGAGGGAACAGCCGGCTGGTAAAAAGGAGGACGATGTCGTCATAAAACAGGCAAAGATTCTGCTGTCGGATGTCCTCAGAAAAGATCAACTCCTAACAAACACAAATCTGCAGGGAAAAGCAGCGTCGTGCAGCGCAGCCTCTGAAGAACCGGAGCGAACAGATGGAAACGGGTGCGACCGTTCGTTTCTGAGAGGACGAATGACRCGGCGCCGAACGGTGAAAACAAAAGCGGAGCTCAAGCAAAGCGCCGCGGCGCGCCCGAGCGCCGAGATCCCGGTTTCGTCGAAGACGGAGGCGAGCGAGAGGAGCTCTCAGCCCGAGCGGAGGAGCAACGAAACGCCGACCACCTGCCTCAACGCACTACCTCATCAGGAGCAGATCACAGCTAAAGCCAAGCTGCTTCCAGATGCTAACCCACCGCTGCACGCCCAGTCCAACATACCTCTGAAGAAACGCACGTTTCGCAGCTCTGTGGAAACGGAGCAGAGTCTGAGCTCCATGTCGGGTCAGGCTCTTAAAAAAACTCCTGAGCTCAGCTCCCCTTCTGCTCCCAAACAGAGCTCTGCCACAGGCTCGTCAGACACTAATGTAAATAGAGACGGTAAAGTCAGAACGGCCTGCAAAAAGACGAAACAAGCCTCTGTTATCAGAACGCTTCGACCCAGACCGAACGAGCGAGGCCATCTGCTGAGGAAAGCCAGGAAGTGCACGTCTCAGAGACAAACAGAGGACAACATCGAGGGTGAGCTGTCACAGGACCCTGCTGAGGGCAAATCTAAAAGTCTAACGTCCTGCGAATCTTTATCAAAAGATGAGCTGAAAGCAAACCTCCTGGAGCAGAGCGACTCGGAGGAGACCAAGCCGGCGTTTGATTTCAAGTTTCGCCTGAAGAGGAGAAGAGGGAAGGTGTGGGAGATGCAAAACGAAGGGGCAGAGGTAAAATCGGAAAAGAAAGAGGATTTAATGGCGTGTGACCCCTTTAAAGCCATCATGGACTCTGTATCGATCTTGAACATGGAGATGGAGGCTCACGTTCAGGCCAGCAAGAAGTCAAAGAGCCGATCGGACCGTTTGAAACAAAGGCACGAAAAGAAGAGCGAAGGCTCAGACAGAGGCCGTAAAAACGCAAAAAATCTAATCGAGCCGAACGAAAACACAAGCGAAAAAATGGAGGTTAATAAGAAGGAGAATCTGAACGGAGTCCAGCAACTGTCAGAGAAAACGGAGCGTCAGAACCACAAGGTTGAGAGTTTTTTATCTGTTGAACCTAAAATAGAAGATCATTTCTTTAACAACTGCTGCCTGTTTGAAAGCGGGCTGCAGCAGAAACTGGAACCYGAGCTGAGGCCGAACGGCCTGACTTTACCAACAATAAAACTACGGAGAAAGACTGAGGACATTTGGGAAGTGGACAGCAAAAAGGGGCTCTTACAGCCGGATCCAAACACGGAGTTCAAATTCAAAAGGGAAACAAAAAGTCAAATGTTGAAAACAAAAGGATGCAACGACTCAGGCGTAATCAAAGATGAGAACCCGTCTTATCAAAGACCCGTTCAAGCCCCTCCCAAGACAGATCTACCTCCATTTTTCTTGTCTCTGTCCCCGCTGTCGCTGTCGTCGCCCCTGAACGATAAAGCCGAAGCTGCGCCCTCAGCTGCAGATAAAACGACCGACAGGTCCAAGGTGAACGAGGAGGAGAGGAAGCAGAGGCACAAAGTGGACAGAGTGCGCAGATGTGTGCCCGTGGAAACGCCCACCACTTGTCTTAGTCACACACTTCAGCAAATCGACAACAGCCTCTCGAAGCTGTCCGAAGGCCTGTGCTTGTCTCAGGCGTTGGAAAAGCCCCCCGGCTGCTCCGGTGCTTCTAATTCAGTCATCCAGACCCCGTCCGAGTCTCCTCCGTTCGCCACGGCCGACAACATCCTGTCCGGGGAGCCCAGCTTCACCAACTGCTGCGACGACATCCTGGACTTCCAGTGCCTCAGCTTCGAGGCGCAGAATATTCTGCCGTCGTCRCCGTCGGATCTGTGCTCGCTGGATCCACCGGCCGACCCCTTCAGTAGCCCCCTCTCCCACAGCCCGCCTGATACCTGGACCACCGAGACGCCATATCTAGGCCCTCCAAGTCCTCAAAATAGCTTTRCCAGTGAAGATCTGCAGTTTTTTCCGGGTTTAATTTCTTCCAAAAACGACTCTGTTCCCTTTGACTGCGACGCTAAAGATTCCTCTAAAGACAGGCAGCCGCCCAGCCTCGCCTGTGGGTTTTCAGCTTTGGGGAACTCGGATTTAATGTCCAAGGACCGAAGCAGAAACGCAGGACTGAGGTCTTCAGCTGTAGCCGGCAAGCCTCGTTTCTGCTGCGCAACCTCATCCTCTGTTACGGCTCACAATCCAGTTTCTTTTACGCAAACGTCTAACATCAAACCCAACGTTGGCCAGTCAAAACCCCACCTGAACCTCAAAACCCAGGGCCCATTTCATCGTATGACCATTCCAGCCAAGTCCTCATCCTTCCCGACTAACCAAGCCCGAGGAGCGCCCTCTCAAACGTCCGGCAGGTTCGTCTCSCCGCAGCTCTTCTCCGTTAAAAATCCAAATCCTCCCGAGAGTCCGTTCAACTTCCAAGAAAAGTCCTCCACGGTTATTCACAGGGTCCTGAAGTATCAGGGAGGAAATCAAACCCAGAACTTGTACAGCGCGCCCTGTAAGGACGCCACGGCCGCYGGAAGCCCAACGGTCTCCGCGAGAGTGCTCGGTTCAAAGTCGGGCGATGCGGAAAAGGCTCCGAAGTTTGGTGCTTACACGGAACATTCTCAGAAGAACCACGCTTCAGTCCACGGCTTCGCCAAGGAGCCCGGCCAGCTCGGTTCCCCCGCCAACCCCGGCAGGTCCAACCTGCACTGCAACAAGCTCAGTTCCTCCTCTTTGCAGGCGTTCGGGAAAAACAAGATGTCGTCCGACAAGCAGGACGGCGCCGAAGCCAACGCGACGTACAAGAACTTCACCGACCTGCCCAGACCCTTCTTCTTCCCCAGCAAAGGGTCCGACTGTTACCCGTCGCCACAAGACAAGAGCCTGAAACTGGACAAAACCGCCGACAAACACCAGCTCTGTTACGCGCAGCCGGACGTGTACGACTTCAACTACAGCTCCTCTCTGTCGCCCATGTCTCAGCACAGCAGCCCACATCTGGCCCACAGCACCCCCCCTGCGACACCAGCACCGCCCAAGAGTCAGCCCACCTCCTCCTCGGCCTCTTTCCCTTACGGCTACCAAGGTCCTCCCTACGTCCTCAACTTCAACGGGGACCACTCGTTGACCCTGGGCCTCAGGGACGGCACCGAGGGCTACCCGGGCTCCACAAACTATACCTACCACTGCCTGATGGAGCCCTCGGGCACTCAAGGGCGGCTGGTCCTGGAGCCCCGCCCACCCCAGCTGCAGAACCCATCGACCCTGGGTGGATTCTCAGGCCTGAAGGGTCAGGACGTGCAGCAGCAGCAGTGCCCGCCCGGGGAACACCAGGGGGTGCCGCACTACGGGCCGGTCCCAGCCTCTCACTCCATGGGTGCCACGAAACCCAGGAGGGTGAGGTTAGTGGTGACAGACGGCACCGTGGACCTGGACCTCCAGTACTCCGACTGAACGGACCGGATCTCCTCAAACATTTGGATGTTGTTTTGTGCAAAGGGTTTTTTTTTTTTGTAAGCGTAGTTCATAGTCCAACGATTAGAGGTAACGTTTTTCTAAAGAATTATTTTGATCAAATGTTGATGCACAAATCACTTGTACAGGATTTTATGAAAAAAAAGTTTTAATTACTGTTCAAGTAATAAAAAAAGAAAAATCCCTCCCATCCACTACAATTAAAGTACCAAATTTTAAAGCATTAAAAATGAATACAGGGATTAAACCCACGTGAACGTGAAGACCCCTCTGTACTGTAACATAGATGTATGAATCTTTTATAACCCGTATGGTAGTAGAGACAGAACCCACCAGTTGTTTGCTGGTTCTCGCTTTGTGTGGGGTTTTTAACGGGCAGCTTTGTGCCTCGGTTTTCAATATTCTCGTGATGTTTTTGAAGCACCTGTTCGAACCGTCTGCCCTTGTTTTTATACCAACGTTAAGCTCTCTCTCCTCTCTTTATGTGCAAGTTAACGCATGCGTTCGGGCGGGCCTCCGGGGATCAAAACACGGCGTCAAGTCGTCGTCGATTACAAGAACGTCGCTTTAAAAGTCATTATTCATCRTCGGCGCTGCAGAGAGGCGTCCACCTCTTATAGAGCTAATCTGTTCTTGCTTTTTAAAATTTGGTTACACTTGTTTAAACGAATGTTAAATCAGAAAAATGAGTTGATTTRAATACAAAAAGCTAAATAAACTATTGTTATTAAAAAGAAAAAGGATCTATTCACGAGTTTAAACGGCTTCCAGGAATCAAATCAGTTTCAAAAACCTTTTTAATGAGTGAGAATTATTCTAAAAAATAAAAATACATGCTGATTTAACCTACAATAACAGTTGAGGCTATTATACTCGTGTTTAATTGGCGTTAATTGCACTTCAGTCAACAAAAGACTGTGGTTTAGCTGATTTTAGTTGTATTTTTGGCTCCTCCTTGATAAATGTTTACAGTTTTACTTCTTTATTGAGTAACCTATCCATTTAATTACGTTTTTTTTTTTTATTCTGCAGGTTTGGGTGTGTCGAGTGAAACCGACCTCAGCTTTCCATGAAATCAAAATTAATTCCGGATTTTAAAGCTTTTATTTTRGGGTGAAATTGTAGCTGAAGATCATTTGAGCAGTCGTTTTTATATCCGCCTGTTATTTTCTGCTCTGGATGACTTCAACACGATGATAAAAAAAAAACAACAGAAGAAATCTTACGGTCGAATGCTCTTTTTTTTCTGCAGCGCCGTGAATGAATCGCTTGTGCATGAAACGTCTCCGTTAAAGTTGTGAACAGTTCAGGTGTGTCGAGGCGGACCAGGTGGAAAGAAAAGTTCAACCTTCAGGTCAGTTGTGTGCTTCACAGGTTTTAGGATTATGTCAAATAATTCTCTGCAAGTTCTCCCAGCTGAAAGAAAAAGAGTTTTTGTTGTTTTTTTGCATCAAAAAAAGTGACAATCTCCTCCCAACGAAGCTGTTACCTTTGTTTTTTTTATTATTTTTTTATTTTTTGTTCCAGTTGGGGAACAGAAGGATTCTGGATTGTTGTTTCTGATGAAGCTGCAGGTTTTWGTTGTTGATCGTGGAGATGGAGAACATTTCCCTCTCGTCATGATGTGCGTTTAAACATGGCGGAGAGTTTGTTTTACTGCACAGCCGTACATCATTACTACCATAAAAGCTGTACTGTCTCATAAAAAACAAAACAAAAACAAAAAAAAAAACCAAGGCCAATTATTTATTTAATATCCTCACTCTTGAAAAGGTGCTTTTATGTAATTTATATTTCACATTGATTGTTCAAACTATAAATGTTTTGTAATATTTAATGGAACAAAATGATATTTACATTAAGTATTTAATGAATTTGACATCCAGTTTTTTGATTGTTGCAAATAAAATTAGCTTGCTTTTTCTAATAATTGGCTGTTAGTCTGCTGTAGAAATGTACAAATGTAGCTTTTATCATTAAAGACGATTCTTTTTTTGTAATTTTGTCTCCTTTTCTTCCTCACAAATGGAGTTTGAGGCTAAATTTATTGTTGATTTTCTGCAGTTTGACAATAATCAGTAACTTATAAAAGAATTATTGCATTTAACAGTTCATTAGTTTGCTAATTTACACCTTAAACTTTTATTTTATGCCTTTTATCTACTGTTTTGAAAAGTTATGTTTATATTTTTAGCTACTGTTTTGATAAATTATGCTAACTGTATTATCCTTTAGCTACTGTTTTGATAAATTATGCTAACTGTATTATCCTTTAGCTACTGTTTTGATAAATTATGCTAACTGTATTATCCTTTAGCTACTGTTTTACTAAATTATGCTAACTGTATTATCCTTTAGCTACTGTTTTGATAAATTATGCTGACTGTATTATCCTTTAGCTACTGTTTTGATAAATTACGCTAACTATATTATCCTTTAGCTACTGTTTT